TCAGCATTCATGGAAGCAGCAGTCAAGAAATCAAATGACGTATTGCATTAGGCAAATCTTCTGCACGGCCTTTTTAAAGGGTTGATGAGCAAAGACGTCAGCTTGAGGACTAAGGTGCACCTGACCCAAGCCATGGTATTTTCAATAACCTCATATGCATGCGAAAGCTGAACCGTGAATAAGGAAGACCGTAGAAGAATTGATGCTTTTGAGTTATGGTATTGGAGGAGAATATTGAAAGTACCATGAGCTGCCAAAAGAACAAACAGATCTGTGTTGGAAGAAGTGCAGCCAGAGTGCTTCTTGGATGCCAGGATGGCCAAACTTCATCTCTCATATTTCGGACACATTGTCAGGAGGGACCAGTCGATGGAGAAGGATATCATGTTTGATAAGGTAGAGCGGGTCAGAGCAAAAGAGGAAGACCCCCAGCGAGATGGACTGGCAAAGCAGCAACATCAGTGGGCTCAAGTGTGGCAACAATTGTAAGGTTAGCCCAGGATCGGGCAGTATTTCATTCTGTTGGGCACAGGGTTGCTATGAGTCAGTACCAACTCAATGGCACCTAACAACAACAAGAGAACATACATATACTTAAATAAAAATATTAGATGAAAGAGTGGTAAACCCTCATTTTCAGAAGCTAGGAATCAAAGATGAACTATAAAAGAGTATTTTTCTAGAACTGGGAGTCCTAGCATGGCGATGTAGGATAAGCACTCGACCTTAAGGTTGGTTTAAACTGCAAGTCAGAGGTTCAAACTCACCAGCCACTCCTCAGAAATCCTATATAGGGTCGCTATGAGTCAGAACCAACTCAAACGTCACTTAACAAGGAAGAAAATGGAGCCCTGGTGTGGTGCTATAGGATCAGAATGGGACTGCTAACCACAAGGTTGGTGGTTCAAACCCACCAACCGCTCCTTGGAAACCCTATACAGGGTTGCAATGAGTCAAAACTGTTTCCACAGCACATAACAACAACAAGGAAGAAAACAGCACTTAAACAGTAAAAAGAAAGAAGATATCTCTGGGATTGAGACTGGATGACTGGAAAATCTAGAGCAGCCAACAACAGCAGATGAAAAAAAGATCTGGGAAGAAATAAATGAATGACTCACACAAACTCTGTTGTTTGTTTCAATTCTATGCGATTAAAATCCTAGTGCAGTGCTGTAGGATACACACTGGACTGCTTACCGCAAGGTCAGTGGTTCAAACCCACCAGCTACTCTTAGGAAATCCTACACAGGATCACTATGAATCAGAACCAACTCAACAGCACTTAACAACAGGCTGACCAAATAGTGCGATTCATCAGTCCAGGGTTTATAACAGATAGTGGACAATTGTCTCCAGGCCACCATCAGATCTCAACCCAAGTTGCTTACTCTCTAATTAGGACCAGAGACAAGTTATTCCCCCAGAAAACAAGCATTTATCAACTTTCTTTAGCAGGCCCTTATCTCATATTATAAAACAGGTAGTTAGATAGACAGATAATCCCTGATGAGAAGAAATGATCAAATCTTAAGCCAAGCAAAAGTTGAGGGAATCCTTCCTAATTATGGGTTGCCAGATTCAAGATTGTCAACTAGAACCTTTTTCTGGGTCTTCTTTATTGCTTCCCTGATCCAACTTCCTATAAGGTATAGTATCTTTTTCACAGAATGGGAAAATAAAACAGAACTCATTTTAAAGAATTTTGCTTGTTACTTCATTTTGCTTGAGTAGATACTACGGATTGGATTAAATAGGGAAAGGAAAGTATATTCAGAAAAAACTACAATTAAAATGTCCTATTTTACAGATTTATTTTATCAGTTTATATCTAAAATTCCAGATACATTATTTGTACTTACAGTCATATGCTTATGATTTTCTTCTAGATCCAAATATTGTTCAGTGCTGTGGAGTCAGTTCTGACTCATAGAGACCCTGTGTACGGTTTTGAAGGCTATAAATCTGCATAAGAGCAGAAAGCCTCATCTTTCACAAGCAGAGCAACAAATAAGAGCCAATAAACATGTATTTAGACTTCAAAACCTAAAATGACATAATTGCCCATGTCTTGTCCTATTTCTATCACATGGTCAGATCCAAACTAAGTCAAAAGATGTCTTATGGCCCAGAGTTACGTTCTACAAAACTAATAAGCAACAACCTCATGCTTTAAAACTTAAAAGAATCTCATAGTCAAAAGTTTATTCTAGGGCAGATACCTAATTCAGCCTATCATTAATTCCTAAACAAGCATCAAAGATTTTTTTTGAGGGGTTCTTGTTGTTAATTACCGTAGAGTCAGTTCCAACTCATAGTGACCCTGTACAGAGTTTCCAAGGCTGGATCTTCACGGGAGCAGAAAGCCTAATCTTTCTCCCACGGAACAGGTGGTAGTTTTGAACTGCTGACCTTGAGGTTAGCAGCCCGATTTGTAACCACTACGCTACCAGAGCTAATTTTTGAGGCGTAGGGTCCCTTCAAAACAAAACATCTATCAGGTTCTCCTCAGTGTCAACCTTGAATCTCTAGCTCATAACCAATCAAGCCTGCCTATAAAGTGAAAAAGGGAAATCACAGGGAATTTAACCAATGGCATAAAAACTCCAACCAAAAGTCCATGAATTTCAATTCTTCTAATACATTTTTCCTAATATATTTCAACATTGACTTGATGAAGACAAAAATGGCACCAAAATAGTAACCTAACAAAAGCAATACAAAGAATACTTTTTTAATAATTATGTTCCCAAGAATAAACTCCAGTACAATTATTGTTGTTAAGTGCCATGAAGTCGATTCTGACCCACAGCGACCCTGTATAGGGTTTCCAAGGAGCCACTGGTGAGCTTGAACCACCAACCTTGCAGTTCAAACAACTTTGCAGTCTGATACATTAGCCCACTGCACCACACCAGGACAATTATTACCATACCATAATTAAGGAAACCTCCACAAAATTGTAAATCTGTTTTCTTTATATTCTTTATACTAGTTAGTGAAGGCTTCTTCACTAAATAGAGAACAATCCATACAAAACATTATTCCACATTAACTGTGGCAAAATGTGTTACAAATTGTATGACAAATAAAACCCACATACTTGCAGCATCCTATTTTTCTTTTAAGCTTTTTCTATTGTGAATTGAGTGAAGGTTTACAGAACAGATCATCCTATTTTTCTTAACTTGAGTTATCAGTTTACTTATCTGTACTGAAACATAAAATAATCTAGATAAAGCTTTGAACTACTTTTAAAAGAGCTGTACTGGGTTTTGCCTTAAGGAGCTAATTTTAAAGACTGTTTAGCTGACTCAATCTTTTAAAATTAGCTCCTTAAGGCAAAAACCAGTATAGCCCTTTTAAAGGTAGTTCAAAACTTTATCGAGATCATTTATATTTCAGTACAGATAGAGAAACTTGTAACTCTCAAGTTAAGGGGGAAAAAAAGGATGGTCTGTTCTGTAAACTTACACTTGAATCACAATAAAAAGTTTTTAAAAAAAAAATAAGAAAAAGACTGTTTAGTTGACTCAATGAAGTCCTGGAGAGGTACTGTAGGTTAGTGCACTGGACTGCAATGTCAGTTTGAACCACAAAGTAGTTCAAGCTCACCAGCCACTACTCAGAAACCCTGTACAGGGTCCCTATGTGCAGAAATAGCTTGACTGTACTAAACAATTGGCTCAATAGGAAATTACACAGCTTTTAAGACATGGAGAGAACAAAGTGGTTTGCAAAGTTAACTCTTAGTGACACAAAACTTAGCCATAGAATTTTCCTCCCGAAATTTCTTTCCTCAACATAACTCTTGCTCAACAATATGAAGAATACTCGGGGTTACAGAATTCCTTCATCAGGAATCACTGGGAACTAGGATCTATCTAGCATAAGAACCAGAACTGTGTTGGCTAAACAATGATGTCAGTCCCCTTTGTGATTTGACCCCCTACGCCCACTTCTTTTCTCCAAACTGTAAACACACTTCAGTTCTTAAATCTTGCTCACCCACTGCCAAAATCCACCTAGAGGATTTGAACTGGACATTCCTTATTGAGAAGTTAGGTCCATGCAACTCTTAAAACAGAATCTGCGTCATCACTGCAATGAAAGGGTAAGTGCAAAACCCATGTTCTCCATGTAAACAATGACTCAATTCACAATAAAAACTTTAAAAAATTTAAAACCCAGATTCTAGTCACCTATTTCCAAACGGGCATTTCTTAAACTATTCATAAATGCCCAGTTACACATGGGGTCCACTACACATTTCCAAAGCAGACAAAAATGGAGGTAATTCACACCCATGGCCAAAAGTGTTGCTATTACTGGCCATTGATTATTTAATGCATATTCAGTTCGCTGACTGTTAAATCAGTACATGTGGTTCCGAACCCTACGAGATGACGGTATTTACTAGAACGATCTGTTACAACACAACCCTCTTGATTCACTTATAACCTTTTTCCACCACACATGCACTACCAAGCGTCCGGTTAAGCTTGAGTTGTACTTTTTCCTCTTTGTTTCTTCTCTCTTTGACCCTGTAGGTGTGGTGGTGGTAGTGGTGATGGTGATGTCCCTCACAAGACCCCACCTGCCCAGGGTTTCCGAGGCTGTCGATCTTTACGGGAACAGAAAGCCACGCCTTTCTCGAACTGCTGACCTTGAGGTTAGCAGTCCAGCTTGCAATCCACTAGGTTCCCAGGGCCATGTAACTAACTAGCTGTTATCTTTAACAAGGACCAGAGAGTGACCATACAGGCAGGGAACTTGGGGAACCGCGAAGTGATCAGACTCAGAAGCCCCACCCCACCACCGTGTTCTTGCCTAGAGAGCCCCGAAGAAACGATTTACAATGCTGAGCCACAAAGGGACATACAACCATCAGATTCCAAGCTGGTGGGTTTTCCTGTAAAGTGAAGAACTGTGGCAAGTTCGTGTCTACTTAACTCAAAGTCTTAAAGACAAACTTCTTCTAACAATGGTTTGATATTTACCTTAGTTCTTCACCACCTTTTGAAACACCACGCAAGGGTCCCAAGCCAATCTTCCTCTTTGGGTTCTGGACAGAGAGCGGGGCGGTACGAAATAAAGAAAATGAGGAAGAAAAGTAAGTGGTCCAAAAAAATCTATCCGCCTGCTGGAAGCCCGCAAGTCTAGGCTATCTCAAACTATTGCTGGACCCTCCCACTCAAACAACTACAGTTTCAGAAAAAGTTCCCCGCAATCCACCACCGAACTGGGCCTACCTGGTCGCGACCCTCTCTGAAACCCCTAAACTCACAGGTATCCTTGGAAAAGGGCTGAGCAGGGCCTACGACAATGCCCTCCCACGAGCTCCAAGGCCCGAGAGGCGATAACCGGGCGCGCTAGGTCGTACCTTTCGCACAAGCCAAAGAAGGCGGTGGCCCGAGGGCTCGCTAGGCCCAACTCTGCGAGCCCGGGTCGCGAAGGGGCGGGGCAAGGCAGGGAAAGGCAAGGCCCACAAGGATGTGGGACGTTGGGGGCGGTGGCAAGGGCCGAAGACCAAAAAGCCGCCTAAAAAGCAGCGTAGGAAGCCCTGTCAGAGACACCCGGAAGATCGACGTGACCCCGGATGAGAACAGCCAGTAAGAAGCGAGAGGTCACATTTCCGGTAGCTGCCTCAACCCCCTCCTGCTAGCTTTGGGACCGAATACGCATGCGCCTGCCTGCCGGTATCTTGGCTTAGTTGAAAGAAACGCTTACAGGCTATGCGAGCGGGTGGGAGGCACTTAGTATCCCGCTGAGATGAGAGGGAACATGGCATTGGCCTCTCCCTGGAGCTCTAGTGCTGGAGTTCTTGGTCGTGTTTTATTGGTCCAGAGTCCTGCTGTGGGCTGTAGACTAAGCACTGAACTGCCAACGACAAGATTGGCGGTTCAAACCCACCAGCTGCTCCTCAGAAACCCTATACAGAATCGCTAGGAATAGGAACCGACTTGACTATAATTAATAACAACAACGTCACAGCGCAGTAAACGCTATCTGGGGTATGACAAGTATGGCACATACCCTGGACGCCACTTGTACGTTGGAGCCTGCTTGAGGGCACTTAACAACAATAGCAAATATATAGAGAGAGAGAGAGAATGCCCTGGTGTGGTACTGTAGGAAGGTGGGTAGTTCAAATCCAGCAGCCACTCTTTAGAAATCCTGTAGAGAGTAGCTATGAGTTAGAACCGACTTGAAGGCACTTAACAACAAGTCTTAAAGTCAAAATTTCTGTTACTAATTTGTAATTTCAGTTTACTGTTGTCAAAAAGCAACTGATAGCCACTCATCTGTCAAGTTTGTTGTGCTGTGGTGGCTTGTGGTGGGGTGAGGCTGGAAGCTATATCACTGATACTTCAAATGCCAACAAAGGTCACCCAGGATGGGCAGATTTTAGCAGACTTTCCAGACTAAAACAGGCTAAGAAGGAGGAATAGGCCGTCCACTTTTGAAAAAGTAGCTACAGAAAACATTATGAAAAGCAGTAGAACATGGTCTAACATGGGCCAGAAGATGAGCATGGTGAACTTTCTCTGAAACTGTACTGTTTTGTTTTGAATGGGAGGTTCCAGCAGTAGTATTACATATCCTAGATTTGTCCGCTTCCCACAGATAGGATGTATTTTTTAAGTATTTTTTGGACCACTTACTTTTCTTAATCGTTTTCTTTAGCTCAACCACGCCCCCCACCCCCGTCCCACCCCGCCCACTGTCCAGGACCCAAAGAGGAAGATTGGCTTGGGACCCTTGCCTAGTGTTTGGAAGGGTAGTGAAGAACTAAAGTAAATATCTTAGTTTGGGAAGATGTTCAAAATAGTTTAAGGAGACAGTTCTTGACTAGGAAAGAGCTGCCTCCTCAAAGTAGAAATGACAGGAATGACATGGATGGAGGAAAACTTTAAAGACATTCATTTGCTGATGTGGAACCACTCAAAATGAGGAGAAACAGCTATAAACATCCATTAATAACCAAAACATGGAATATGTGAAATATAAATCTAGGAAAATCTAGTCATCAAAAATGAAATTAAATGCATAAAATAGCCTAGACATTATTAAGCAGAAATGCACGGGTATTGGCCAATTGAATCAGACATGAATATGGTTTACTCCTACTATACCAGGAGTGACACATTAAAAAGAAATGGTGTCACATTCATCATCAAGAAAAATATTTGAAGATCTGCCCTGAAGAACAATGCTGACAGTGATAAGATAACATCCATAAACCTACAAGGAAGACCAATATCTATTACTATTATTCAAATAATATACATTGGTGAAGAAATTGAAGAATTCTGCCAACTTCAGTCAGAAATTGATCAAACATGCAGTCGAGATGTATTGAAAACTAATGGTGATTAGAATGCAAAAGTTGGAAACAAGGAAAATCAGTAGTTGGAAAATATGACCTTGGTGAAAGAAATGAAGCTGGATATTATATGATAGAATTTTGCATGACCAAAGACTTATTCATTGAAAATACTTTTTTTCAACAACATAAGCAGCGACTGCACACCTGGTATTCATAGGAATCCAGATGGAATACATAGTAACCAAACTGACGACATCTGTATAACCACCATGAAGAAACTCAATGTCATCTGCCAGAACAAGGGCAAGGACCAGCTACACAGCAGACCATCAATTGCTCATATGCAAGTTCAGGCTGAAGTTGAAGAAAATTAAAAAAAAGTCCACAAGAGCCCAAATGCAATCTTAAGTATATCCCACCTGAATTTACAGATTGTGTCAAGAACAAATTTCATGCATTAGACACTGATGACCCAAGACCAACAGAGCTCTAGATGACATCAGGAATCATCATACATGGAAAAAGGAAATGGTCTTTAAAAATACAGAAAAGAAAGCAAAGATTGAAATGGATGTCAGAAGAGACTCTGGAACTTGCTCTAGAACATAGAGAAGCTAAAGTGGCTGGAAGAAATAAAGTAAAAAAGATGAACAGAATATTTCAAGGGCAGCTCAAGAAGGCAAAGTATGGTATTATAATGAAATATGCAAAGATTGGGAGTTAGAAAGCCAAAAGGGAAGAACACACTCAGCATTTCTCAAACTAAAAGACCTGAAATAAAAATTCAATCCTCTACTTTAAATATTGAATGATTCTGTGGGTAAAATATTGAATGAAAATGATGCAGGCTATATCTAAAAAAGGTGGAAGGAATACCCAGAGTCACTGTACCATAAAAACTTAGTCAATGTTCAGTCATTTCAAGAGGTAGCATCAAGAACTGATGGTATTGAAGGAAGAAGTCCAAGCAGCATTGAAGGCATTGGTGAGAAACAGGGCTCCAGGAATTGACAGAATTCCAATTGAAATCTTTCAACAAACTCATGCAGCACCGAAGGCACTCATTTATGCCCAGAAATTTGGAAGTCAGTTACCTGGCCAACTGACTAAAAGAGATCCAAATTTATGTCCATTCCAAAAAAGGTGACCCAACAAAAAATGCAGATCATCTAATAATATCATTAATATCACACACAGGTAAAATTTTGCTAAAGATAATTCAAACATAGTTGCAGCAGTACATCAACATGGAACTGCCAGAAATTCAAACTGGATTCAGAAGAGGATATGGAACTTGGGCTATCAGATGAATCTTGGATGAAAGCAGAGAATACCAGCAAGACATTGTTGTTGTTCTGTACCATGGAGTCGGTTCCGACTCATAGCGACCCTGTACAGGTTTTCCGAGACTGTAAATATTTACGGGAGCAGAAATCCTCATGTTTCTCCCGCGGAACAGGTGGTAGTTTCAAACTGCTGACCTTGCGGTTCGCAGCCTGATTCATAAGCACTACACTACCAGAGCTCCTTTGAAAGATATTACTTGTGTCTTATTGATTATCCAAAGGCCTTGGACTGTGTGCATAACAAACTGTAGATAAAATTACAAAGAATGCTGTTTCAGAACGCTTAATTGTGCTCATGAGGAATCCACATATTAACCAAGAGGCAGTCATTAGAACAGAACAAAGAAATTGTAAATGGTTTAAAATAAGGTAAGGTGTGCACCAGGGTTTATCTTTTCACCATACTTATTCAATCTGTATGCTGAGCAAATAATTGAGAAACTGGATTATTTGAAGAAGAATTGGCATCAAGATTGGAGAAAGATTCATTAGCAGATGGCCTAACCTTGCTTGCTGGACTCAAAGAAGACTTGAAATACTTCCTGATAAAGAACAAAGGCTACAGTCTTTAGTATGGTTTGCACCTCAATGTAAGGAAAACAAAAATCCTTACAACTGGATCAATAAATGACATCATTATAAATGGAGAAAAGGTTTAAGTTGTCAAAGAATTCAAATTGGATCCACATCAGTGAGCATGGAAGCAGCAGTCATGAAATCAAACGATTTCTTCTTCGATTCCAGCAAGCATTAGGTAAATCTACTGCACAAGACCTTTTTAAAGTGTTAAAGGACAAAGATGTCAGTTTGAGGACTAAGGTGCCCCTGACCTAAGCCATTGTATTTTCAGTTATCAAATGCGTGTGAAAGTCAGACAGTTGATAAGAAAGACAATTAGAAGAACTGATGCATTTGAATTTTGGTGTTGGAGAAGAATATTGAATGTACCATGGGCTTCCAGAAGAACAAACAAATCTGTCTTGGAAGAAGTGCCACCAGAATGCTCCTTAGAATGGCAAGACTTTATCGCTCGTTTTTTTGTATATGGTGTCAGGAAGAACCAGTCTACAAAGAAAGACATCATGCTTGGTAAACTGGAGCATATAGTGAAAAAGAGGAAAACCCCAAAGAAATGGATTGACAATGTGACAGCAACAATGGGCTTAACCTTAAAAGTTGTGAGGATGGTGCAAGACTGGATAATGTTTTATTCTATTGTGTATAGGGTCACTACAAGTTGAAACAGATCCAACAGCATGTAACAAAAGTCACAACATTGTTTGCTTAAATGTTGAGCCATGGGGAAGTGTTCAGTGTCAGGCTTGAAGGGGGACTAAGGACTACAGCCTTGTGGGGTTCACCAGTCTCTGTCAGACCAGTAAGTATGG